TCTTTGAAATTATTGAAGTGCTAGTTTTCAGCACACCATTTGAATCTTGCGTTTAATTCATATGGGTTTTCATGGACAAGTCCTTGTAAAAATATCCCTTTGTAAGGTTAAAAAAAAATCTTTAAAATATTTGACTCATTGAGTCTTAAATCTGTGACATAACTTGAAAGATATTTTTGTAATATATTCATTTTATTGGATTTTTTTAATTTCCTATGCACAGAAGGTAAGGGTGTATGAAATATATAAAAAGAATTTGATGCTGATTGCTTCAAACAAGAGAAAATGGAAAACAATATGGTCTGTTTTTACTGGGATTATCCAAAATGTCTTTTTTAAAATATTTTAAAAAAAAAATTGAGATAAGCTAGTCTGAATGTATTTCTATAATGTCTGGTGGTGTATATATAAGGGAGTTAGCCTGTGCAAAAGTGACCAACCCAATTTCTAGATTCTGGGTTGCGTGTATTTTATGTGTGTATTGTGGCTGCTTTGGCTTGTGCCTGTGCTTTGCTTATTGTCACTAACGCTTAGTTATTTTCCCTCCCTGTGGTATGTGGTATTGGGGTTATATCCTAGCTCTTAACACAGATACCGCTGCTGGACTACTGATACGCAGCATTCACCTGGTAACCCAAAGGCTCAACTCGCAGTGGCGGCAGGACATGAGTATCTCTCTGGCTGCGCTGGAGCTTCTGTCTGGGCTGGCAAAGGTGAGAGGTGAAGTTCCCTGTGCCCTGGCCTCTCCTCAAAGGGTGACTGTAGTCTTCCTCAGGTGAAAGTCATGCCGCCAAACAGATGTCCGAGTTTGTCAGCAAATGTTGCATTTGGACAGGAGAAAAAACAGCGCTCCTTTTGTACTTCATCTTCTCCAAACGTAAATGTTCTGTGGCGCAAATGATGCGTGCCCTGTAAATGCCTGCTGGCTGGAGGTGAAGCTCGGGGCGGCTTGTTGGGGTACACCAAGCTCGGGGCGGTTGTTGGGGTACACGAAGCTCGCGGTGCCTTGTTCAGGTACACGTGGCTCTGCTTACGATTCTGGCTGGCTTTGAGCTAGCTGGATGCCTGACCTTTCTCATGGATTCCTGTGTGTGTCTGGTTTTGGTTTTAGGTGTTTTGGGGCGGGGGGTGTGTGTTGGTTTGTTGGTTTGTTTTTTTTTTTTACACTACGGGGGATGCACCTGCCGTATTAGGTTTCACAGTCGAGGAAAAACTTGCCACTAAGCTTCCAGTGGAAGTGTAGGGGCTTGCACCCTCAGTTTTCAACCCCGCTGTGACCCATTTATCATTGCTTTGCTTGGTTGGGCGGCCAGTCTGCCTGTTCACTGCGTAACCAGACTTAGAAACAAGGGGGTTTGTTGCTGTTAGTTGGCAGATTGCAAATATGCCAGAGTATTAAACAACTTAATTGTCCTTTTTGTAAGTGTTGCACCCGATTTTCCCCTTACATCTCACCTTGGAAGTAGTTTTCTGAGCTTAGAAAATGATAATGTATTTCTAATACGAAGGTGTCACCTTCTTCAGAGATTTATCTACACACAGTTCCTTGATTCAACAGCAAATAACTGAACTAAAGCTTCTGGGGGGGCTTTTTTTCTTGAGAAGTAAAATGCCCTTTTCTGCTTGAGGGCTCTTGTCCCCACGCTGGACTTCATGACATTTTTTAAGAAATAGGCCAGTGTATCTACAGCAGCCACCATGACCTGGCGCGACAGTTCAGCATTTCCTATCATATTCCCCCAGGAACTCAACAGATCTCTTTGAAATACGCATGTCTCTGGCATTTTTTTAGAGCGTGGAGTCAGCACTGAGCCATGTTGGACGGGATGCTGATTTTATTACTGCAGCAGCATGAGCTGAAGGATGCATTTGAAAATGTTCTGCAGTGAATTAATGTGTGGTTATTGGGTCTTATAGAGCATCATACAGAACCAGGGGTTCCTGCAGCTTGTGTAGTTAAGCCAGTTTGGTTTTTTTTTTCTTGGCTTGCAATGAGATGGGAATGTGAAAATATACTATCTTTTCAAATGCCTACCCAGGTTAATATTAAATATTAAATATTCTCATGCGACTGAAGTAATTCTTCCTCTCTGGTACCTTGGATATCTTTCCCCTTCGTAACAAAGAGGGTAGAAAGAGATCACCTCTTACTGCAGAACTTGAGAGTGGAGAGCCAGTTCTGCTTGTGCCTTTGGAGGTGACAATTCCCAAAGCCCTTCTCAGGTCAGAGGCTGCCCTGTCTTGTGTCTGTTCAGCACCAGGTTATTAGTGGGACTTAGTAAACTCAAAAATCCTGTTTCCTGCAAGAGTGCTGGTTCACCAATATGCTTTTCATAAGCGCGTCTTAAGGGGACTCTATTTGCTGTAGATCTTAAGCTTCTGAAGGAGATGCTGCCTTCATCCTAGGGCTCTGAATTGTCACCCCTCGCTGCGTGGAGTACAGCTGCCTGGCTCCGGTGTTGTCATCAGCGAGACCGTCCACTTCCCCACTTGGATAAGCATGCACCTCAATGAGTAAAGCTTTATATGGCGCGGTCAGATGCTACAGAGTAGGAAAATCCCAGCTTGAACTGGTTGTTCCTGGGCCAGGTCACAGGTTGGGAAGAAAAGAGAAGAGAAATTCAGTTCTTTAGTTTTATAATGTAGATCTTCATGCTTCGGCGTACTCGGTGTACATGCCTCTTGGCTAGCCCTCCAGTCTGGAGTTGGGAGAGAAGCTGAAGGGGTTTGAAATGAGTTTTGGGAGAGGGTTATGGGTTTTTTTTGTAAATCTGCTTGTCTGAGGGTGAGTTTTCTGTTCCTTTTTCACTGGTGAAAGTTACTGTGCTGACAAAATATGCCTAGTGGAAAGTTATGTGAGCAGAATGAAGCCCTGCGGAAGGGAGACTTGGCAGTGAGTGAGTTCTCGGAGATACAGAATGGGTTACTATAGCTGAAGGGGAGAGGTATTTGCTAAAAATAAGTTTCAAATGCTAATTTATTCAGCTTGCAATTAGTTTCTTATCAAACCATATTGGTACCGCTTTTGCTCTTGGAAACCAAGCCATGCAGTGTGGTGACACCTCAGTGCAGCATTTCTTTCCTTTATGTTTCAATATCCATCACTTAAATATTTTTATCCACAACTTTTAAGCTGTAATCACAAAAGAGCTCAACTGCTTATTCCTATTTCTTAAAACTGCATTTAAAAAATGCTTTTAAAAACTACTTCTTCTCCAGGAGCTTTTTGTGGAGGAATTCTCATCCTCTCCTGCTTGCTTTACACAGGTGAAAGTGGTAGTTGATTCCTCGGATCGGAAAAGAGCTATTAGTTCAGTGTGCAGCTACATAGTGTACCAGTGCAGCCGCCCAGCCCCGCTCCACTCCCGCGACCTTCACTCCATGATAGTTGCAGCTTTCCAGTGCCTCTGTGTTTGGCTCACTGAGCACCCTGACATGCTGGATGAGAAGGTGAGAGTCTCTGGTGTACATATTTTGAGTACTCCAAATTATAATGCCTTTCGTGCCTGACCTATCTGTTCTTGATACTTTAAAATAATTAAAATAATGTGGTTTTCTTAGTTTTCAAAAGTATACTGGGAATTTCAGAACTAGTTTCCATGCAAAATAGTTTTGACTTTTGATTTCTGCTCTTTATTCACCAAGAATGGTTTTGGCTTTAAAACTACCTGTCATATTTCTAAGAATGTCTTGATCTTTCTTCTCGCTTTGAAACTGGAAAAAGAGAAAAGAAAAGAAAACCTGAAAAACAGAAACTGAAAAGAGCAATATGGGAATTTATGGTGTACATACAGCATAGCTATCTGCTGCAGGTGAACTTCACTAAAAGCCATGTCTCTTCTCATTTCTACCTAAAGCATCTTCTAGACTTAACAAAATTCCTTTGATGCTAATATTTTGATAACCATAGTTTGTTTCACCAAGAAACCAGTTTTCTAGAAACTGAGCAAGACTCAATCCAAGATGGAATTTGCTTGGGAAGCTTGAAAAGAGCAGGAAATGAAAGACGCATGTTTCCAACAGCCTTCTGTCCTGCTTTTTTTTT